ATATATATATATATATTATATAATATAAGAATATAAATGTATATACATGTAAATGTTTTCAAAATATATACTGTATGTGTGTGTATTTATATATACATAATATATATATATACACAGTACACATACATATATTATGTAAACAAAAAAAAACTTTATTTGGGATGCGATTAATCGCGATTAATTGTTTGACAGCACTAGACTAGACCTATCCGTGAAGAGGTAGTAGATGCTATCTGACATGTAATAATAATAATTACAAAACAAACAAACTGTGGAACACAAAAGAAAATGCTTTAAAAACGGTCACAGTGTTTGTTATTGTTTTCATCAGTGAAGTCCAATGTTGCTTTGGTCCAGTTGACTTTTATTTTGTAAGGACAAAAATGGATGAAGAATATATTCTTTTGTGTTCTGCAGAAGACAGGTGTCATACAGGTGTAGAAGCGCATGAGGGTGAATAGATGATGACAGAATAGTCATTTTTAAGGGGTAGTTTAACCAAAAATTGAAATTTTTTCACTAATTAATCTCCCTCGTGTCATTCTAAACCCATAAGGCTTTTGTTCTTCTATGTATTTTTAATGAAACCTGATAGATTTTAGTCCTTTTATCGACAGTCCATTTCAGCAAAACATTGGCGCTTTATAACTACATAAAGTAATATATATATGAATCAAATTTAATCCAAGTCCTTTGAAGAAACGTGATTTTATTTAATAAACAGATTTATTTAAGCTTTTATTCACATATGAACATTGATCAATGCACATATGAACAACACATCAAATATAGTATACGGAAGATAAACTGTAATTGTTTGCAGTGTTGGGAAGGTTACTTTGGAAATGTAATAGGTTACAGATTACAAGTTAGCCTATTCAAAATGTAATAAGTAGTGTAACTATTTCAGTTACTTTATTAAAGTAATGTACTTTCGGATTACTTTTCTAAATGTATAACTAATGTTTTTAACTGTTAATCATTCTAAAACATTTAAACCAAGTGAGGTTAATCTACACTAGTTCTCAACACTGCTTACCGTCAGACTTTCAAAATCCTTATAATAATTTAAGTTTAAAGCCATCAGAAAATCAGGCATTAGCACTTTTTACTTTTACTTTGAGATCGTTCTGAGGTTAAACAGATTTTAAATCATAAAAAGATAGTTTAATAGCTATGATACTGTTTTTAAATCAAATGTTTGCATAGCTATGGGGGGAAACACTGGCATTTAACAATGCCTTGGGGAAAAAAAACAGTTAATCTTAAAAAATAAAGCATATACTTAAACTGAAATAGAAAATAAAACAGTTATATTTATCGAATAAGCATGTGCCCTATTCTGTGTCCTAAACTCCTGAAACATTGATGTCTTCATATTTTAGAGAAAGGTCAATGCTATTTGAGAAATAAATAAATAAAATCTGTATGTGTGTGTGAAAATATTCAGATGTACACTCTTAAAAATAAAGGTGCTTCAAAAGGTTCTTCACAGCGATGCCATAGATATAAAGTTATAAAGCCTTAAATGACTGTAAAGGGTTGGGAGAAAATCGAATGTGTGTCAGATCCGCGTCATATGCATCAGGTTTTTAAAGAGACAGTGCTGATTTTAAAGTGAAACCCGCTGAAGTCTGTCAGTTGATGTAAAATAGGACAATATTTGGCCGAGATACAACTATTCTGGAATCTGAGGGTGCAAAAAAAATCTAAATACTGAGAAAATTACCTTTAAATCTGTCCAAATGAAGCCCTTAGCAATGCATATTACTAATCAAAAATGAAGTTTTGATATATTTACAGTAGGAAATTTACATAATATCTTCATGGAACATGATCTTTACTTAATATCCTAATGATTTATGGCATAAAATAAAACTCGATAATTTTGTCCCGTACATTGTATTTTTGGTTATTGCTACAAATATACCCGTGCTACTTATGACTGGCTTTGTGGATATATATATATATGATCCTTTGGAACTTATTCTAATATGCCAATTTTGTGCTAAAGAAAAATAAATACCTTTGTAAGCAAATAAATACCTTTGTAAGCAAAGCAGACTTGTTCAAAACCTTTTAAACCTTATTCTTAACAAACAGTAATTTGTGTGTGTGTGTGTGTGTGTGTGTGTGTGTGTGTGTGTGTGTGTGTGTGTACATATATATTCCCATAGACTGCTTATGCCGCTCATATGTTTACAGGAGTTACTCCCTGAAGCACATGTGTATCTGTTTCAGCAGTCAGGGGTTCTGCTTTTAATGGATCCAAGGATGCATTTGTATTTTATTAAAAGAGTTTAATGTTTTCCCCATAACCCCTTTAATACAGCCAAGATTGCCGACGCAAAAAATGAGATAATTAGATGTAGATTTTCTGCTGTGTGAGGTTAAAAAGGTGATTGGTCAGATGTTTCTGTGTGTCTGAGGGTCGCCGTGGTGATCGTTTCATGCTGCTATTGTGACATTAGTCTGCATGTGTAGGCCGCGCTCCTCATTTGCATATGCCGGTCAGTATATTATGTATCTTCTCTATCTTGTGTTTGTGTGTAGATGTGTGTGAGTGGGTGCTGTTTATGACGTAATGTCCAGCGTGACGTTTGTGATTCTTCTGTTTGGACGAGTGTTACGTTCACTGTTCATGTGTGTCGTTGGGTTTTTCATGTTCTGTCTGTTTTTGTGCGTGTCGTGTTGTGCTTTGTTGTAGAAACACACCCTGAGTCCAAATGCTAATGAGTAAGAGCACTTCTTTTTTCTTTATTGTTGGGTTTTATGTAAAGTTGCTCACATGCTCTCAGGTATGGCAGCTCTGAATGGCGGGCTGGGCAGCACGGGCCTGAGTAACGGGTCGGCCGGGCCCATGGACGCTCTCACACAGGCCTACTCAGGGATCCAACAGTACGCGGCTGCCGCCCTGCCCACCCTCTACAGCCAGTCCCTACTGCAGCAACAGAGCGCTGCAGGCAGCCAGAAAGAGGGTATGGACACACACACACTGGACATTGCTTACAATGGAAGTGAGAAATCTAGTTCAACTAGATTAACTACATAAAACTAGAACAAGAATTAGATTAAATTAGATTAAATATAGTTCAACGTCATTTAAGTAGCACAGCAAATATGGAAGTACATCAATAACGAAAGTTGGGGGGGGGGGGGGG